TCGCTGGAAAATAGTGGAGAGAGAGAGAGAGAGAGAGAGAGCTCTGTTATACAGTATATCGTGAGACACAGACATCAGTCAACACATTTATAAAAACGACAAAAATAATATATTATAATATATTTTGATGAATCTCTCACTTATTATATCATATTTTCTTCCCCTTTCTCTGTCTCCCTCTTCCCATCCATCCATCGCTTCCATGCATTCAATGGCCAATCACTCAAACAACTGACGATTGGCGCAAACCGTGTGTATATACATATAATAGGCTACCGAAGCCGCGGTTACCACGATTTGATTTGCTGTCAAAGATCATAATCGATGCGCTGGTGATAGCGATCGTGGCGTTCGCCGTCTCGCTATCGTTAGCCAAGATATTTGCCAAAAAACACAAATACCGGATCGACGCCAACCAAGAGCTCATAGCCCTCGGGTCGGCCAACGTATTCGCCTCACTCTTCTCCTGCTATCCCTCCTCCGCCTCGTTGTCCAGGAGTTCGGTTCAGGAGAAGACCGGTGGCCGCACACAAGTGGCCGGTTTGGTGTCCAGCGCTTTCATGTTGGTATTCCTCCTCTTCTTGGGTCCACTTCTATACCATTTGCCAAAAGTAAGCGATGATTACAAAATCGATACCAAAAAATGTTTAGTTTTCTTGTGTTGTTTTGTGTTGTGTTGTGTGCGGACGAGTATTGAAGACAATGTGTGACAACTATTTTTTGTCTCTTCTTTTCGCTGGAAAATAGTGGAGAGAGAGAGAGAGAGAGAGAGAGAGAGAGAGAGAGACTGTAAAAGAGTGGAGACATTAAATGAACTCTAAATTGCATGAAATAAATTGCGAGAACAGATTAGTCCAGACATCGGGTCTGAGAAGTAATACAAGCGTTGGAAGAAATATTTTTAGACACAAATTCCTGTTTCGGGAGCGAAAACAACACAACAAAGCAATAGATTTGATGTATTATTTATGGTATGTTTTGCCGTTAAATGTCAGAGAATTGGGCGCAAAATATTTTCGTTAAATTACATCTGATTTTTTCAAAACAACAAATTCTTTGACATTAAAGTATTTTCTTCGCAATTAATTGCCAACAAAACCTTTGCGACAGTAGTTTGTAGTAAACGATAGTGTAATCCTATGTGTAGTAAATAATTTTGTGTGTGTAAAATAATCTCGTTGTTAATACGATTCTTGTTATAGTACTGTCTATATGTTACATATTATTTGGTGTCTAACAAATTGATTAATGTAATTTTTCAAAAACATCATTTTCTGTGATGATCTGAATTTCATTTGCTTTCATACACTTTAACCGAAATGTATTTATGTTTTGTTCACTATTTTTAGGCCACCCTTTCGTGCATTATTTTAGTCGCATTGAAATCAATGTTTTTACAATTTGGAGATTTAATCAATTCGTGGAAAATATCTAAATTACAAGCCGTGAGTAGTATTTCGTTTACTTCATTCTCTCTCTCTCTCTCTCTCTCTCTCTCTCATCCATTTTAAACTACATTACGATTTGTTTCTCGTTTTGATTAAAATGAGTGAATATATTGATTCATTGAAGAGAGAGAGAGAGAGAGAGAGAGAGAAAGAGAGAGAGAGAACTTTCTACTATACTATAACCCGGCAGAATAAAATAGGGGATATTATTAATATGGCGTGGTTATTGAATCACCAAGGTGGCTTTAAAGTGTAGACTGTATTTTAGTACACTATATGTGACTAACATATTAATAGTGTATAAATTACAACACAAGGGTTTTATGTTATGTGCCATGAGGTGCAAATTCTGCCTGCTCATATACTATACTGTATATATCATAGGAATTAATTAATAGGAAGCGAATTAATCAAAAAACACATTCATTTCGTGTTTGAAGTGAAAATTAAAATCAAAGACAAATGACTGAAATGAATGAATAAATGAATGGAAAACAGAAAATATTTTGTGTTTGCTTTGATTTTTCTAATTAGAAATCATTAATTAATTTTTTAAATTATAAATTCTTTAGTAAATGAGAAAAAAAGGTTTTACAAATTAGAGAACAAAACATTAAAAATATATTTTTCAATTGTTAAGCGCAGGGAAAATATTAGGCATAAAAATATGTTGATTAGACAAATATCCAGAAAAATATAATTTATGGCAAATATGTTTGCACATGGAAGATTTGCTAAATATTAGGGTAAATTTTTGTTTTAAAATATTATCATTTGTCAGTGTTTTTGGTGCATAATTTTAATGCTTGAATTCTGACAATTAAAATTGTGTTTAGCAAAACAAAAAATAATATCAACATTATAAATTAGTCACAAAAAACAAAATGCTCACTGCAAATACTACACACACAATAATTATCATAATGTAGTAAATTATCATACGTTATTTGCCTCCAAAATAATTTTAATTTCATTAAAATATTCAAAAATTTCAAATATATTTTCTGAACGCAATAGAAATAAGCAAAATTAATAGAAAAATAGCATAAAATTTGAATATATCTTAAAAATATTCATTCAAGTAATAAATTGTTGTGAAATATTATATTTATTTATGGCGCAAATGTATGCGAATTCTGACATTTACAGAATATTCTTAACATTTAAAATTCCCTTGGTCATAATAAAATGATAAAAATAAGTAATGGTTTTTATTATTCCATGTTTTATCGTTGATATATCAGATGCAATGGTTGATCACATTCTTGGGTGTAATACTACTCGGGGTAGACATTGGTCTCATTGTCGGCGTT